ATTCCAGGTCCTTAGAGATCCAGGATTCCAGGTCCTTAGAGATCCAGGATTCCAGGTGCCCAGAATTCCAGGTCCCCACTTCCCTGGCCGTAATCCTTTTCCTTCTGTTTCATTTTAGGAGGCTTTTATTGGTTGAATGCAGTGGGAGGATCACACCTGGAAGGAGGGACGGAGGTCCTACTCATGGTTAGTGACCCTTTCATGCTTTCAATCTTTAGAGCTTCCTAAAGGCCTCAGGATTCCGGGGGAAGTGAGAGGATTCCAGGGAAATCAGAGCTTAGGGGGGAAGCCGAGGCCCAGGGCAGGGTCTGGAGCGATCCCAGGGCCACGGGATTTGCCTCGGAGTGAGACCTGGAGAGAGGATTTTGAGGAAGGTGCCTGGGTGGGGTTTTCTGGGGGGGAGGTGTTTCTCCAGTGTTTGGGAGTGGGCAGGAAGCAGCCTGTTAAAAACGAGGTGAACACTGGGATTTTAGCGGAGGCAAAGCCGTGAAATCTGGGAATCTTCTCATCTCCTGCTCTCACCTCACCCGCCCTCTGCTTTGGCTGCACCTTGGAGCCGATCCCAGCAATTCCCTGAGGCACCTGCCCGGCTCTTTGTGTGTTTGTGAGCCCTGGAGAAGGCAAAAAAAAGGAAAAAAATCCTCTTTTCAGCCCCTGCCCGTGACGGGGGCAGATTTGGGGTTGGATCGTCCTTCCCGATTATCCCTGCCCAGCTTTTCCTCCTCAAGGTGCACCAGCCCAGTTCTGCCTCCCCCAGTTCCTCCAGGAGCTGGAATTGTGATCCCTGTGGGTCCCTTCGGGCTCCCTGCTCTTCTTCCTCCAGCTGAGGGCTCAAGCGACTTCTGGAGCCCCCACTAATTGCCAGGGTTGATTTTTTGGGGGTTAATTAATTAATTAATTAATTAATGACCATTTTCCCCGTGGGTCATGTCGTGACTCAGATCCTTCACCCCTGAGCTCGAGCTCGTTCCCAGGAGCCTCTTCTCCATCCATTATCCATTAGGATTTATTCCGGGAGAGGTGGGGATGTGGAGCTGCTCCTGAACAGTGGAAAGGTGGGAGAGGGGGATTTTTGGGGGTGAGATTTCCCCCCACACTGGGTTCATCCCATCCAAAGCAGAGCAGTCACTGCTGGCAGGGCTGGGAATGGGTGTCCAGCTAAGGAAGGCTCATGGAAAACGCTTGGCTGGACCAGGTCTGGCCCCTGCCATGACAGAGACCCCCCCATTCCTGACACTTCATCCCGAAAACCTCCCCCTTCACGTTACCAACCATTTCCTTCTGCCCCTCCTGAGTCCCTTGGTGGCCTCTGGGTGTCCTGCAGCCCGTGGAGGGCTTTTCTTGGGGCAGTTCTTGGGATTTTGGGGGGAGAGGATCCCCCTGAGCGGCCCCGGGGCAGCAGGTTGAACCCTCCACCCTTGGCACCGACCGACGCGGCTCGGCCAAGTCCCTGCGGATCAGATTTCCCGAAAGATGGCACATCTCTGCCTGTTGGCAGCCAAACCTGCCTCCCTCTCTGTGCCAGGCGCTCTCCTGACCCCTCTACCCGAGCCAGCAGCATCTGATCCCCTGAGTTCCCTTCCCGAGCTCTCCAAGCGCAACCGCGGCGGCGAGGGGGCTCCTGGGGCTCCTCTGAGGAGGTACCAGAGATGGAGGGGATGGTTCCCGGGGCTCTTCCCGGTCCTTTTGGTCTCCAGGAGGAGCAGGAGGTGTCTCCAGAGCTCAGTGTCACTTAGTGACAGCAGCAGCTCCTTTAGGGAACATCTTGGGGCCACCACCTCGTGTCCTCGGGCTCGGGCTCCTCTGAGAAGGTGCCAGATGTGGAGGGGATGGTTCCCAGGGATCTTCCCAGTCCTTTTGGTCTCCAGGAGGAGCAGGAGGTGTCTCCAGAGCTCAGTGACAGCAGCAGCCCTCAGAGAGCAGCTCTTTTAGGGCCATTGGAAACATCTTGGGGCCACCACCTCATGTCCTCAGGCTCCTCTGAGGAGGTGCCACATGTGTGGGAGACAGTTCCGCGGGCTCTTCCCAGTCCTTTTGGTCCCCAGGAGGAGCAGGAGGTGTCTCCAGAGCTCAGTGACAGCAGCAGCCCCCAGAGAGCAGCTCCTTTAGGGCCATTGGGAACATCTTGGGACCACCACCTCGTGACCTCATGCTTGGGCTCCTCTGAGGAGGTGCCAGACATGGAGGAGATGGTTCCCGGGGGTCTTCCTGGTCCTTTTGGTCTCCAGGAGGAGCAGGAGGTGTCTCCAGAGCTCAGTGTCACTTAGTGACAGCAGCAGCTCCTTTAGGGAACATCTTGGGGCCACCACCTCGTGTCCTCAGGCTCAGGCTCCTCTGAGAAGGTGCCAGATGTGGAGGGGATGGTTCCCGGGGCTCTTTTTGGTCTCCAGGAGGAGCAGGAGGTGTCTCCAGAGCTCAGTGACAGCAGCAGCCCCCAGAAAGCAGCTCCTTTAGGGCCATTGGGAACATCTTGGGGCCACCACCTCCCCTCCTGGGGCTCCTGCAGTCCCCCCTGGAGTCCGTGTCCTCCTTCCTGCACTTCCCAGTGCAGGGAATGGCTCAAGGTCTTTGTGCCCACCGAGGAAAAGAAGGTGGCACCTGCCTGGGCAGGGGCTTGGCAGAGTCCCTGAGCTTTCTCAGGTTAAACCCCCCCCACTTCCAGGGTTTTAATCCAGACCAAGTTGGTGGGAGCCTCTTGGAGCAGAGCCCACGGGCCGACACCCCCGGGAGCTTCCCGTGTCCTCCAGGCCCTGGGGGTGGGAGCTGGGATGTGAAACCTTCCCCTGGGGCTCTTCTCCCTCTGCTGTGGGCTCAGGGGAGGGTTTGACCTGTGCCAGCAGCTGGAGAGGAGCCCTTTCCCACCCAGGGACACTTCTGAGACCGTGACCAGTTTGTCCCTGTCACCTCCATCCCCGGGAGGTCACAGGACACCAACAGAGCCCTCAGAGCTGCTGAGCTTTTCCTCTGCCACGACACCAATTTTCTCCCCCTGATTTGTTTGTGGCTTTGACTCTGGTCTGGCAGGGACTGGGGGATTTTTTTTCCCTCCTGGATGAGTTGTGGAAGTCGTGCTCGGTCCCTTTGGACTCCACAAAGCCCTTTTTGAGCGCGGCCGGGGCCGAGACGAAAACATTGGGCTCCCATCCTGCCTGAGCTCTGCAAACATGGGCAAAACTTGGGTAAACTGAGGGACTTCTCTGGCTGCTCTCCCCCCCCCTCTGCTGTTCTAAACCAGCTCTCCTTGTTGTCCCGTTCCTCCAGGCAGTACCTGAAGCAGGAAAGCCTGGACAAGAAGAGGAAGGAGTTTGACACCAATGGCTGGGCCCTGCTGAGCAAGAAGAGCCAGGTGGGTTTGGAGAAGGGGCCTCTCTTGGGCCCTGCTCTTGTCCTCCATCTTTTCAGGCTGGTTTTCCGCAGGAATTTGTTGTTTGTGGTGATAGGGGAGGGAGGGAACAAATCCCAGATTTTGGGAGAGGGTTTTTTTTTATTCCACGTGGGCAGATTTTGTACTGGGACAGGGGAATGGGGTTAAACTGGAAGAGGAGGGGTTTAGGTGGGATGTCAGGAAGGAATTCCACCCTGGGAGGGTGGGGAGGCCCTGGAATGGGTTTCCCATGAGGATTTCCCATCCCTGGGAGTGTCCAAGGCCAGGCTGGACCCACCTGGGATAGTGGGAGGTGGAATGGAATGGGACAGGATGGGCTTTTGGTCCCTTCCAGCTCAAACCATTCCATGATTTTGTGTTTTTCCCCTCAATTATTCCAGGCTTGAGCAGCCTTTCCTGCATTCCCAGCTCTTTATTTCCATGGGATCATGGAACAGTTTGGGTTGGGAGTGACATTTAAAAGGGTTTTCCTTCCCAGGGGGCTCCAAGAGGGACTTGGGACAGGGAGTGATGGGCCGAGGGGTGAGGGGCTTCCAGCTGGGAAAGGGGTGGAACTGGACAGTCTTTAAGTTCCCTTCCAACCCAAACCATCCCGGAATTGATGACATTTGATGAACTTTCATTTGCTGCCCTTGGGGAGCCCCTTCAGGGGGGAAAGAACCTTTCCCCGAGATCCAACCCAACCATTCCCTGGCTCTCAGAGATCACAGGCGCCCTTCCCATTGAGCCCTTCACCCCTGGCAGCTGGAAAGGGGGTGATGGGCCCTCTGGAAGTGGGTGTTTCCCCTCTGGAATGTGTGTTTTCCTTGCAGGAGATCCCCCAGCAGATGAACGGCAGCGACTGCGGGATGTTCGCCTGCAAATACGCCGACTGCATCACCAAAGACAAACCCATCAACTTCACCCAGGTACCACCTCAGGGGGGGTCACCCCGGGGCCAGGGACCCACCAAAACCACCCCTCTCACTGTCCCCTCTGCAGCTGGGCAGAGGAGAGAGGGGAAAAAACCAGCTGAGGATTCCTGAGTTGGGATAAGGGCTGGGAGAGGGCGGGGACGGATCAGAACAGGCTCCAAATGGGGATGGGGCTGGAATTTATGGCTGACGGGGGAAGAGTCAAAGAGGGAGGGAGAAAACAGGCTTAGGAACACCTTCCCCCCTCCCACGGTGTCCCTTCTCCCCCCCAGCAGGGCAGGGGTTCGGGAATGGGGGTGATGGTCAGGTTGTGTCTCCCATGGGAGACAGTCATGGATGGAACCTCCAGGGTGAGTCCATCTCATGGGAGATAATCCTGGATGGATCCTCCAGGGTGGGTTCATCCCATGGGAGACAGTCCTGGATGGACCCTCCAGGGTGGGCTCATCCCATCAGAGATAATCCTGGATGGACCCTCCAGGGTGGGCTCATCCCACAGAGACAGTCCTGGATGGATCTCTCCAGGGTGGGCTCATCCCACAGAGACAGTCCTGGATGGACCCTCCAGGGTGAGTCCATCCCATGAGATACAGTCCTGGATGGATCTCTCCAGGGTGGGCTCATCCCATCAGAGATAATCCTGGATGGATCCTCCAGGGTGGGTTCATCCCATGGGAGATAATCCTGGATGGACCTTCCAGGGTGGGTTCATCCCATGGGAGACCCCATTTCCCTGGGAAAAGCTCCCCAGCCCCAAAAGTGGGGGCACTGCATCCTGAATCCCGAGGAATCCCAGTGCCACCCTCCCTGGAACATCCCCCCTCCGTGGGACCATTTCGCCTCCAATTGTCAGGGAATAACAATTCCATCATTCCCTGCGTAGGGATCATTCCCATCACAGCTCCAGCATTCCCTAAATCCCACCTGCTGCCCCGTTTTCAACAACCAGAAAGCAAATTTATCCCCCCTTCCCAAAAAAAAAAAGCCGTGGGAAGAGCAGCCGCTCCACGACCCCCCCTCTCCTGAACATTCCCTTTCTTTTCCCTCTTTTTTTCCCCCGCTCCCAAAGCAACACATGCCCTACTTCAGGAAGAGGATGGCCTGGGAGATCCTGCACAGGAAACTCTTATGATGCCAGCGGGGAGAACCACGGGATGGGATCCGAAGTGCCCGGATTTGCCCTGGAGAAGCAGCTCCAGCCCCTTCCTGGGGGGGCTCCAGGACGACGCAGGGGAACCAAACCCCGGCTCCTGTCCCTGCTCCAAGGGCACAGGAATGTTTGGAAGCACACTTGGGGGGGGTTTTTTTGGGGAGTTGTTTCTTTTTTTTCCTTTTTTTTTTTTTTTTTTTTGTACGACTTTTCGGGTGCTGGGACTCGGGGGCAGCTCGGAGCATCCCAGGGGTTTGGGTTTTTCCTGCTTGGAGGCTGGAATTTCGGGAAGGGGAAGGTGCTCCCGTTGCTCTGGGGGGGCTCTGTGAGCTTTGCTGGGAG